TACAGCTTACAGTATATCTCTTACAGATGTATGTACAGTACATTTCTCCTTTCTTTGCTAGATTAATATATCAAACTGCTAGAGCTCTATCAAATTGGTGTACATCTATCGTATGAGTGGGGTATCATTGGCCCACAAACAGGATCAATGGACTATATGGAGTTGGAAGTGTTTGGTTACAGTGGAGAAGGAATCTTAGTACATGAGGGGAGAAGCCCCAGTGAAATAAGTGTGTGTGGGGGGGTGGGTTGGTTGGTTGGTTGGTTGGTTGGTTGGTTGGTTGGTTGGTTGGTTGGTTGGTTGGTTGGTTGGTTGGTTGGTTGGTTGGTAGTGGGGATTCTATGCCCTCTTCTGTTTACTCTGTTCTTTTCAGGTTTGAGGTAAAGATGCTAAGCCACTGATACCATTTTTAGAAACCATCCTTATCATTTCTGTGTAAGTCAATATTCTACGCATACATTTTGGGTGGATTTTTGAAGCAACACTGTACTGGAAACAATTGTCACAGTTCAATGAGTCATTAAAAATCCAGTTGCTGATATTAAAAATCAAAGAAGAACATGTGGCCTTCCAAGTGTTTGGTGGACTACAACTTTTATCATCCTTCACCATAACTTATGCTAGGTGGGGCTGATTGAAGTTGCAGTCCAAGAGCAACTGGAAGAACATCCACTCCCAACCTTGCTTTTCTAATTGGATCATATAGTGCAGTGGTTCTTAACCTTGGGTTACTCAGGTGTTTTTGAACTGCAACTCCCAGAAACCCCAGTCAGCACAGCTGGTGATGAAGGCTTCTGGGAGTTGCAGTCCAAAAACACCTGAGTAACCTAAGGTTAAGAACCACTGATATAGTGTCTTACTCTACATTTGCACACATGCAGAGCTCTAGTTGCAGAGGCTGGTGATGCAAACGGATGTGGTGCTGGTTCATGTATGGTCAAGCACACAACTGGCACTATGTCAGATCATTGCAGCAGTTGGAGCTCTGTTTTGAAGAGGGTACTGGATTTTAACATTTATTCATTAGTATATGTGCACTTCTACAGGTTTGGAAAAATGCTACTCTGATGTTTTGTTTTTCTGGGAAGCTTGAGTGGCTAGTGGTAAAAATATATTTCTTTTTTACTGATGGTAATTTGCAAAGTTAGTTGATTCTGGATATGCTGTATCTTTTATCATCATCGTCATCATCATCATAATTGTCATCTTAGAACTGCAGAGCTGGAGGGGACCCTACAAATCATTGAGCTTACCGCCTGTCAAGGAGGCCCAGTGGGAAACCAAAATCGCAACCTCTGGCTCCATAGCCAGATGCTTAAACCACTGAGCTATCCAGCAGGTCTTAATTGGGCTCTGTAATGCACACTAAATTATTTGGAATCTCTTGAACTTAAAAAGAAAAATTAAAAAATACACTCCTCTTTCATAGACATTTTTCATTCTTGGCCACAACCCATCCTATGATCTTACTTTCAGCTACACTGTTTGTGTGTCACCAGCTTCCCATTTAAAATTTCAAGCTACTGTGCTTTGGGTGACGTCCATCAGTACCAGTCTACTAATTGGTTGCTTGCCTACCAAAATCTGTTATTCCTTGGGTTTGCAGAAAGAAACTTTCTGCAAGGAATCTTTCTAGAGCTCTTTCCTCCTTTACTCATGTCAAAAGCCCCCATAGTATTATTAAGAGAATGCAACATCAAATTAGGCAATAGCATGTACATAAACACATAAAATGCAAACTGATTTACAAGGAAAAAAATTGTAAAGCTTGTATAACTTCATAAGATAATTTTTGCCCAGAAACAAGCAATGTCAAGAGCATTTGGAGCAACTAACAACAAATCTTCTATAGTACATGTTGAGGGGTGCATGGTACACTGACATAAGATTAATATTGTCTGCTCTTCACTGTTCTCCCAAATGACTATGTCGGTGCAAAAAAACTTATTTTCCTAAGTTCACCTTGGTTCTGTCAACTCCATTCTGCAGTCTTAGAAGTGTCTTCTAATTACGTAACCCAGCCTCTATGTAACCAAGTACTATTCTTTCCTGGTGGTCTATTTTAAGATATGGGTAGTTTTTCTTTCCTCATCATAGTCCTGTCATTCTCTGCTGTGTCTTCAAGATTCGTATATGTTCATGTGTGTGTGTGTGTGTTCTGGCTTGATTTTAGTCTGGAAGGAGTACGATGGTAGCCAAAGAGGAATGCACATTGGGTGTAGATGCTTTGAGTCGTTCACTGTTAACTGCCTCCTCTCTCCATATATCACTGGGTGCAATGCCTGCTAGATAATTGTGTTGTTTTTTTTAAATAAGGTTTGGCTTCAGGCATCCTGTAATGATTTTACAGCTTTCTTTGTGCGCCATATTTATCTGATTTGCATGGGCTGAACTATGCCACACCAGACTATGCCACAACATAAAGCAGTACTGTATAGGGCCAAAGCTGTAGTTGTTAGTGTTTGTGGTTCTATGCCCCATCTAGAGCCCAGTAGCATTCAAATATTATTGTACCTTGCAGAGACCTTTTATTTTGTATGTTGGTAATGTTTTTCTACAGATCAACATGCAATCCAAAGTAACACGTAGGTACAGTATGTGGAGGCAAAACAATGATCTAGTTGAATACCCTTCCCAGTAACTTAAAATTTCCAGGATACCTGCCCGTTTCTTAAGTGAAGGCCGCATATTTGAGGCTGAGAGAGTTTGGGCTTAGGTTTCTATTGTAATATGTGCCCTGTTCGTACCATCTGAAAACTGTGCAGTTGAGCAGCAGGGGTGAAGTATGGTGTAATTATATTTTATACAGAGTTGCTCTGACTCAGAGTTTGGAAAAGTTCCTTTTTCTAGGCTACAACTTCCAGAGTGCCCCAAGAGTTGTGGTCAGAAAATAAACTTTTCCACTCTGCTATGTGTGCTTTGAAGAGAGTTAAAATATAGTTTTAATTTGCATAGATTATCATATCTTACATTAATTTTATTTTTAGAAATAATTTTGGGTTTTGGGATACAAAATTTAAATACAATCGTAGTTTCTCTTAGAGAAGACAACAGTGGGAAACTAACTCACATTGTTTAGATAGTGCACTACTTTCTTTGACTTGCATGCAGTCATATCTCGAAAAGGAGATGTACCCAAAAAGGGTACATAAAAGATCAACCCCAGTTTTTCTGCGATGAATTGTGAAGAAACAAGATCCATTCTAGTTTGCCTTGTGTTTACTGTGACTCCTCAACTAAGTTGTAGATAGCAGTAGTTCTTGATGCCGCCCATAATATACTTATTTACTATTATTCTTCGCTATATTCTCAGAATATTCAGGGAAGAAAGCATATGATATAATTCTATGCAATCATTATCTAAGCATGAGGAACTCATGTGTGCTGAGGAGAGTGTGCTTGCCTTGTCCCCCACATAAGAAACAACATTCTGGAGAGGAGGAGGTAACCCCTTCATGTGACCTAAAACCACAGAATATAGCTTGTGAATATAGCTTGTGTCTTTAGACTGCAGATATGGGAGAAATACACAGCTGATGGTTGTATCTTGCCCCCAAGGAATCCTCTCCATACAGAAAACTAGCCTTATAGGAAGTCCATAATGAGTAGTTTTTCCACTTCAGTGGAGTTTAGGATCCTGGGAATATATTCCAACATTCTCCTTGAATATTCTGGATAGAAATACTTCTTACCAGGCTTATAAAACTGAACAAAGCATTTTTTCTCCACCAAGACTTTGGGTTAGTTTTTTTTTTTCTTTTACCAAACCGTTGTTCTAGGTGCCCATTTTAAGTACAAACTACTGTATCAAACAAATAAGAATTCAACAAAGAAAAAGTCTAGACTTGCATAATTCTTCCAATAAACATCTATTCCATTGACTCACCTAGTGATGCCCTGTCCTTTGTCAGCTCCAGCTAAAATATGCCTTTGTTTACACACCTCCTCTTTTGAAAGGCCAGTTCCCCAAGTGCTTTAATGGTGCTTCCAGATTAAGCTTTTTATTACACAATCATCAGGCCTTGTTTATGGAATCTTCCATTCTTAACCCTTCCATGTCTCCATATTGTTTCTCCCACCTTTGCTTCTTCCTTTAAAAATCCCTTGAGGAGGAAAAGACGAAATTGTGTCTCAGTCGTCTTTTGGTTGGTAATTCTAGAAGATGTCTAGCTGAAAACACCACAAAGGAACACTGGCCCTTGGAAACAGCTGTTTGAAGTTGTTGTTTTGTAAATCTAGAATGTTGATTACAACATGTCACAAATTATGCTAAATTCATCGTGTGACCCTTTAAAATTTATGGTTAAACGTGGATGCTTTTTTTAATGGTAGGAAGCAAAGTATGGAACCTCAGGTGTTGCACACCCCCCCTTTATCTTCTTGCCTGCATGTTTCTAGTCCATAGTTTGAATTTATATTGTATATAACTACCCCAGAATTTTTAAGACCTCACTCTGCTGTAAGCACGGTGCCCTTCTATTGATTTCACATGCTGTCACCCCATCAAATCTGAGTTTAAAATGTGTACCCTTGAAGTCCATAGCTACGCTGTCAGAAATGGGTGCATTCTTTCCTTTGTGAGAACAGAGGGCATGTGGACTAGGTCAGAATGCAAGCACAGTGTTAGACTCTTGCAGAAAAGGGGAGGCTTATTGTGTGGATGACATGAACTCTACTTAGCAATGGTGTATGGAGAGAGAGAGAGAGACTGGTGTCATAGCTGATTCACGCAACAGGAGGGGTCTCCTTTCTCTCCCTCACAGATGCAGCCCCCTTTTCTGATGTCACAAACATATTCTTCACCCAGAGAATTGATTTAACATTCATAGGGGAAGAGGAGGAAAGGGAGAGCATGTGAAAGAAAACAGAGGCTAGCTGGATTGTTCAGGTTCCCTTGCACACGCATATACTGAAAGAGACAGGAGACATCAAGCTCAGAATGGTGATTTTGTAACTGGGGGTCTCTGACGTATAGCTGAGCGTTTCCTAGCAGAGATCTTTATGGACCAGTAGACAGACTAAAACTGAAGCTGACAAGACTTTGTACGTTTTGGAAAGAGGTGCAACCTACTGTAGTGAGGAACTGAGCCCTTCAATCAGTGCAACAGTAAAGAAGAGACAGAAGAGAAAGAAGGAAGGAAGAAAGAAGAGAGAGAAAAGGAGAAAGAGATTGAGCTTTTGCTGGGGGCGGGGAGTGAGAGCATTTTTGGTGGATGGTATAAAGCCCGCCATGGAAACTACAGCAGAGGAAAATACAGAACAAAGCCAAGAGAAAAAAGGTACCCAGAGGACCAAACAATAGACTGTTCAAATCTTTTTAAGAACCTTCAGTGAAAAGATTTAAGCTGTGTTTGTCACTCTCTTTAGAACGGCGTGTAAATGATCGTTATTGCTTCTTCTATCTTCAAGCAGTTGTTGTTTTTTAAATTCTGTATAAGTTGATAGTAGATTTAAGAGAACAGCCATTTATCCTGGCTTCTCTGGGTTGGCTTTTTCACACACTTTCAACCCAGGAAAAAAAAGAGGGTTTTATTGTGTTTTTAGCATTTTAGAGCAAACTAATTCTGTTTATTATTGTGCAAGTGTCCCTTTATTCATGCATTTTGAGCTCGAAAGTCAGGCTTTGGGGAATCCAGTATTATGATCACATGAAGCTTATAGCCAGTATGGGGCAAGGCACACAGAATTCTGTTTTCATCTTTTATTGTATAGTGTTTGTCTTCCATTTTTCCTCTCTTCAAGGAAAAAGAATTGTGCAATAGCATGGAGGGGGAGAAAAAGGAACAATCGAAGAGGACCTAGCATTTGGGAAGAAGTGTTATGAAAGATAGATTTATAGACCATAAAATGGCAATGTGGCATGACAGAACGAACCTGAGTGTTACTGCTGATTTATAGATGTAAACAGTGCAGTGCCACACAGTATATATACAAAATTAATGACTTGCATTGTTACATTTCATTACCTTTTTCTGTAGCCAGTATGTGCAGTGATGCTCCTGAAAACTTTGTCCCCATTTACTCTTGTGTCAAACCAATGACTTGAAAAGCAGTAAACATACATTATTGGGCAGAGGTCACACTCAGTGCTGGCAATTTATCTTTTATCATATTGTTTTTTCAACAGGTCTTGTAGGTTTGAAGCAGTAAGACACAAGAGGAAAAGCTATAGCTAACAAGTAACATGCATATCAGGTCTTGTAGGCGTTATGTTATTGTTTAGTGATGGCTTTTTTGTTATTTTGTTCAGAAGCTCCTGAACAGCCAGTTGCTTTCTCTGTGTTACTGGTTTAAGGCAAAGGCTATATTAATTAAATGTTCAGTACAAATGCTGGTCTCCAGATTCTGCAAATTAAGTGTTGATCTCTGGAACAGTTAATCCATATAATATGAGAAAAGCTTCATTGGCAGTTGAGTGAAATGTGAAAAAGCAGTTGGACCATGGCATAAAATAATACCCTAGATAGTCTACTGAAAACACTACAATGGTAAGAGATTAATTTTGCAAAATCACTCGCATGCCACTGAAATGATAATGTTCCTGCAGATTTTATATACAGTATATATATACACACACAAACTGCATTCCAGGTGGTCTTTACAAAAATCCCCAGACTCAAAATTTGTACAAAAGTGTTTGAAGATTCTTTATTAAACTATCATCTTTTAACACGTCAAAATAGAAATAACACATTTCATTAAAATGAATGGAAGAGTTAATTGAGTATCTCTTGTGTTATGAAATGAATTATACTTAGAAATGTATTTCCTCTGAATGTGTGAAATTTCCAGATAGATTTATTTGAAAGGTGAGAGTAAGGGTGTATGTGGTTATGTATTCATCATTTCATCTCCACACAACTGTTGCAAAAAAAAATTAATCTGTTGAATCTGGATAATTGTTTAGGCTTGTACAAGAAGCTTTCATTAGCACAATGTAATCTGTTTGCTCCAGAAAAACAACCAGTTTGTTGGGTGTTTTTTTTGCTGGTCATGTCAAAGAACCCAGCTGAAAGCACCCTACTATCTACTAAGAACTATTTGCCCTGCAACCTTTTTTCAGGTATAGGGAGATTATTTGGGAAACACATGTCTAAAATCTGCTTGAGTTCATTGTGCTGGTTTCACAATCTTTGGGTGGGGACAAGATTGTCCCCTCTAAAAACCATCTAGGCTTAGGGAATTGCTCTAAATGTACAGACATTTCTGATTTTCTTATTGTACCTGACTTGTTTAGTGTGATAAAACATATGGATCTATTTGGATAGATAGCATTTTTAAGGCCGTCATTAACAATGCAGTTTATAGTAAAGTCTTTATAAGCAAGTAATAACAGGCTGCTTGGAGCTTTTTCTCCATATCTCCTTTTTGAATCAATTCATACTTTATAGATAAATAACGGATAAAAGATATGAAATTCAAATCGGAGTCTGACTCTTAATTTAAAAGAATTTTAGTTCCATTGATGTGACTAAATTAAATGTCCAGTCCTAAATCAGTGTCCAGTTGAAATCTCATTAAAGTACTTAATTAAGTAGACTTTGATGTCCTGTCAGTTTTCCAGTTATCTTTCATGTATGTAATATCTGTGGATTTTTCTCCAGATTTTACTTGTAGCATTGAAACCCCTAATTGGGCGTTTTGTTCATAACATCAGACATACATAATTTTGTTTTTGGTTGAGTATATAAAGAGAAATGTGAATATTTTAAACAATACGACTTTAAAAAATGAATGGACCTAACTGCACTTAAATTTACATTAAACATCCCTGGGTTGTGGCATAAGTTTTTGTTCTTTTCCTAGTGCCACGTCACTGAATCTGTGTTGATGTGTGATTAAAATGGCATATGTTGATATTGCGTGTTTTAAAGATTGATTTCTGTCAATAGAACTTTAGGTGGTTTGTTTAGCAACCTGGATGTTAAGAGATTTGGGGGGAAATCCATTCTGCATGCATTAGCCATCTCTCATCTTGTGCCCTCCAGATTATTAGATCACAGCTCCCATTCTTCCAGATACCATGTTTCGTGGGCATTGACCATCTTATCTAGGAATGATAGATGTTGTAGTCCAACATCTGGAGGTTCTGCTTTTTGTTTAATTGAGAAGTAGATTTTATCGATCATTCCCGTTTTTAAAGCATTCTAGGAACATACCAAAGGATGTAATCAGTGTATGTACAGACATACTTGTAAGAGTGACTGACAAACAGAATTGTATGTTTCTTTGAATGGTTAAAAACCAGTAAATTCCTATAATGGAAACAAATTCACATTTGCAAAGGATAGGACATGAAATGGATCCGGAACATTTCAGCTGCATCTCAGCCCCGTTGTGTTGATCAACATGAAATCTTAGTAATGACCAGCAAAGGCAACAGTGACCTGCAGGGGTTTCTAAGTGTGGCGGAAATGTTCTACAACCAACCAATCACTTCTTTCTTCTCCATACATGTATGTATGTTAAGTGCCATGTCTTACAATCAAGCATACTGTCATTACTAATTTCAGCTGTAGGTCTATAGAAAAACATTAAATGCACTTCCATCAGGCTACGAGGTGGGGGTGGAAATTTACATAGTTGTTTGATTTAGCAAAGGCTTATGTTTCTTTTGAGATAAGCCGTCGTAGAAGTTCCCCTTATGCTAATTTGAGAAGCAGGACGGTTGCCATATTAACATGGTATTTTATTTTGAAGTATCAAAAATTCTTAGGAGAGAACAGGCCAATGAACACTTGCTGTGTTATTGCTGAACAGCTATTTGCAGAGCAATAAGACAGACTGGCTGCATTTAAAGCTGGAGGTTTATAAATTGCTGTAAATGACAGGATTTATCTTGTGGGCATTGCATTAAATCAAAACGTGAGGATGGGGCTAGGCAGATTTACTGAGATGGAATAAATGGGCAAAACGAATGCCATTTTAAATCAGCAGAGAACAAAATGAATCCAGATGAATATTTACATGGACATGATGTTTGTCTTTAGTGGGATGGTGGTGGAGGAAAATCCAGCGATTAAATCCCAGCTGAAAAATGCCACACAGATTTACTCTGGGTGTCCAGAACAAACTGGCCATCAGATTATTAGAGATTAAAAATTAACTCATCATTGTTGTATTTAAGCAATGTTTAAATATGCCTTTGATTAAGCAATTGTGCTTAAAAATGAAACAATTTTTTTTAAAATAAATGTGACTTACATTTGGTTAAAGGTATATAAGATTGCATTTAAAGGAGATTCTGAACACTTAAATCATGGAATTATTGGACTTATTGGGAAAGAATTGCATGGGAAAATCAGTTTTTTTAAATGTTGGAGGAATAAAAATACAGAAATTATGAAATGGTGATTACATTTATGCAGAGAGAATGTATGGAAATTACATCACTGTTTATCTCTAAAACACAGTTTATATAAAGAAAATGGTATCGTTCAGTTAATACACATGGGTAGTCTTTTTTATTTCTTTCTAAGGGGAAAAAAAGGCATATTTCAGAGATGTATTTTGTTTTTCCAATCTTTTCTAGAAGGTCCTGAGTAGGCTGCCATTAATATTCCAGATCAGTTTGGATAACATTAATAGTGATCTGAAACATTAATGGTCAACTTTGGAAAGGGCGGAAGAAGGAAAAGCTTGGAACTTTCAGTTCTTTGTTCTTCAGCAACTGCTGTTTATTAGCAATCACAGATACGATCCCATCTGTGTCCAGTTGTATTATTGACGTCCTATGTTCTTCTGAATGTCTTGGCATAAAAAGAGTGTTCATGTAATTACAGACATTGAATCATTTGGCTTGGAAGGCTCACTATGGCATACTGTGAGACTCCTGGAGGAATCAGAGAAATGGTTTAGATAGGAGAGGTGTCCAGTTACAAATATACTTTGTTCTTGGAACATTCATTGAATTCTGTGGATGCTGTCCTCTTTGGAAAATATATATTAATTAAATAGGGCTTAAATCCACGTGTCAATCCAAATTAAAGCAAACAATTGAATGGATAGGATTTGTTAAGTCAACGTTTTTATACCTCCCATTGATTCGTAGGCCTGTTCTAGATGGGATTAAAGACCATAATTTGCATAAATACAGCTTTCAAATGATCCATTTTTATGGTCCACAATTCTGCAGTTCTTCGAGTGCACATGACAGGACGTTTCTTACTTGCAGAAGTGACCATTATGGCAGAATGGGTATCTCCACCCATAGAAAAGGATAGAGGCACAGATCTGTCCTCCCCTCTGAAATGCAGGCAATTCCTGGTACACAAAAGACTCCTTAATATGCATTGGAGCTCATGTGGGATCTTCAGTTGTGCTGTGATGCTATAACTGCAGTTTGACAGAATGACTTCTGTGTATCTTATCAGAGAGGCTGAAATGGAAAAGAATGCTTGTTAGGTTGTATCTGTCATCTCAGCATTAGTTAAAATTATGCAGGTAGGGATGGGCACAAGGAGTGAAGCAAATGCTATCAGATGATGAACTGGTACTCATTGATCCAAAACGGGTGATAAAGTAGAATAGGGGTTTCCAAGTACAGGCCAAGAATAGAGACATAAGGATTGAAGAAGTGTCAAACATGTGGCTGCTGTTGCCTGCTTTCCAAGTGGAAGTTCTCAGTAGGCAAGAATGGGCTTTATATCCTCTTCCATGATAGATAATAGGTGCTGTCAACTATCTGCTCAACTGTACTGGACCATCTCAGAGATAAGAATCAGAATTCTTCCTGTGCCTTTGTTTCCTTACATGGATTGCAGTCACAAAGATAGTCCTATAAGGATATTTTTGCTTCAATTGAATCAGATAATTAAGAAGGGAGAAAGTAAATGAAGACTTACCGTATTTTTCGCACCATAAGATGCACTTTTTTCCCACAAAACAGGGGGTGGAAAGTCTGTGTGTCTTATGGAGCGAAGAAAACAGATTATATTTTCCTGTTTTCTTCTCCTAAAAAATGGTGCGTCTTATGGAAAGGTGCGTCTTATGGAGCGAAAAATACGGGTATATATGCTTGTGTGATCTATAGCCAAGCTCTTTCTATAGGACTGCATGTATAGATACCTCGCTTTGCTCAAATAGAAAGAAGTAACACAATCTTGAACCAGCAAGCAGTAAATGTTAGTTGAAGTACCTTTTGCTTAAGCAATTTGTGATTAGACTACTACTACTACTACGACTACTACTACTACTACTACTACTACTACTACTACTACTACTACTACTACTACTACTACTAATAATA